GTCTCACCCCTGCCTGTCTCTTTAATAGGTCTCTGATCAGGCTCGGACCATGACAGGTGCTATTGGTCCCCTGGCTCTGCTGCCATTCTCCACTGATACTGTTTTACTACTGTGTCTAACAGCTTAGAAATTTCCTCTCTGAATTACTGCAGGTCTTTCTTAGAACTACAAAATGTTGTTTAACTTGCTCAGTTTTGGAGGATGTGTTGTTTGGATGATGTTGGAATCAGTTCCCAGTGATTTATACTAGACAGTATTAGAGTGTCACACTCAAACACTGTTTCTCTCAAACACACTTCTCCTCACCTACAACTGATCACTGGGTCAACAGCACATAGGCCTTAGACTTTGGCTCTAGCCACCCTCAGTGACCTCTGGGTCTGCTCAGAAACACTATCCATACTTTCCGAGGGCTTGAGTTGGGGCAAGTCTTTCTCTTCATTTAGGAAAGTTACAAGTGGTACCTCAGGACCTGTCTGTCCCAGTTTCCCTCGCCAGCTGCAGTAGTCAGTTTCAGCACATCTAAATGTTGGAGCATATTCAGGAGAAGTGTTGTAAACCTCCAACATTTAGTTCTCGATCCTATTGTAGTTAAGCCAGGTGTTTGGAGGACAGCCTTCCACATGGTGATTCAGGAATCTGGGCTTCCTCTTTCCAGTGGTACTATTGACATTGCCCCTAGGAGATGAGGGAAGAGAGAGAGAGAGAGCAGAGGACCTCACAGGAAACACTGAGGCCCAGGGTTGGAAACAGCATATGCCACCTCCACTCATCTCTCTCTGGCCACAGCTCCTTCATATTACCCCCATCTAGCTGTGTATCTAGGAGGAGGGAATGCATGTGATGAGCCCCTGGCCAATCTCTCCCTCCCCATCTCATCCAGGAGGCTGGGGAGGCCTCACACAAGTAAGACTCTTGGGGGTCTGCTCTTGTACTCCGGGGTTATTCTTCCTGCAACAACGCTTGCTATTGATGAATTTTTAATATTAAAATCTGTATGTGTCTACTTATATTTTTGTTAAATCTTCTACAACATTTTTACCAAATACGGTATTTCCTAAACAATGCATTATGCAGTTGAAGATGCTCAGCAAAGTAATCCTATTCACTACAGTTCTCAGTCCCATTGAGTGTTCTCTGGCAGCTTAGTCCCCACACAAAGACCCCGACATTGGTGGTCTTCAAGCCTTGGACACATTAGAGGCTCTTCAAGACTCAGGGGAGGCCTGCGTGCTTCAGTCTTCCTCTAAAGGGCCATCTTTACACATGCAGTTGTGCAGTGTGAGAGGGTCGTTGGTAATGCACCAGCAAGAGCAGTCATCGCTGGAGTGGCACAGCATCTCCTAATACTCAAGACAGTGTTGTAGGATTGGCAGTGAATGAAGGGCTCACTGTGCTGTGTGGGAAACTGAAACATGGCAATGCAGCCTTTCCCTAAGACTATTTCTGCCCTGAGATGGGAGATGATACTCTGTTGCTGACAGGTCAATCTGGGAGAGACTTGGCAGTGAGCAAAAGCCTCTCCAGAGACCTTGCTCAGTGAAGCTCCTTGAAGGAAGGGAGAAGCCTTTATTCATTTTGGCCTGGCACCTGACACACAGCTGGTGCTTAATGAATGTAACCTGCAAAGGACAAATATTTCTTAGGCGCATCAGGTTGGACTGGGAGTGGAAGGTGGGGAGGTGAAAGAGAGTGTGTGATGAAAACAACAATGGGTCAAACATTCTGATTGCAAAAAGTGGTGTTGTTAAAAACTATTTTTTTGAGGCAGGCAGATCTGGGTTCACATCTTACATCTGTCACTTACCTGCTATGTGATCTTGAGCAAGGTTGTAACCTCTCTGGGCCTCAATTCCCTTTATCTACAGAAGTGACATGTAATACCTACCTCACCCAGGGAGGTGAGGGTTAAGTGACGTAATGACAGTGCACACCTATGTATGGTGCCTTCTGTCATACACAGAGGATGGGAGCAGATGCTTTTTTGCAGCACCCACCTCCCGCTGGCCCACCCTGGAAGTGACCTTCAGATGGTTCCTCTGTACCAGTGACTTCCTGCCACTCTCTGTCTATGAGCGTTCTCTGATTGTGGGAGCAGGTTCACCTGTGCATAGAACAAGCTGGAAGAGCCAGGGAGTTAGCCCCAAAGGTGATCTTCAGCCAGGGAGGGGCTCCTGTTTGATCTCCCGTTTCAGTGTGCAAATTTGGAGATGTGCTTCACAGTTTCTTAGGAGGTCTCCAGTGGGGCTGAACCCCAGTTGATGCAGCATTAACCTGTTCATGAGCACATTTATCTTAGGTTTCCACTCTCCTCATTCTCACCATCCCATTCCTTTACAAAGCTTTCTGGGAGCCCCTCTCAAATAAACTACTTCCTCCTAAATCCTTGCCTTAGGAAGACTCCAAACACATGGACTGGAGGAATCAATGATAATGACTGTTGTCAGTTTTCAAAGGGCGCAGGTATGGGTAGTTAACACAGGGACATATAAAGCATAACAGAAGAAAACAAGATTACTAACTACCCGCTGAAGGTATCTAGTAATGCTTCCAGAAAGAAAGCGTGGCACTGTGTGATTTGGAGAGTGTGGTACGGTGTAATCTTGAGGTTGTGATGCGGTGTTATGTGGAGAGTGTGGTACGACGTAATCTGGAGAGGGTGGTACACAGTGATCTGGAGAGTTTGGTATGGTGTGAATTGGAATGTGTGGTGCGTTGTGATCTTGAGGGTGTGGTACAGTGTGATCTGGAGAGTGTGGTATGGTGTAATCTGGAGAAGATAGTACACTGATCTTGAGGGTGTGGTACGGTGTGATCTTGAGGGTGTGGTACAGCGTAGTCTGGAGAAGGTGGTACACTGTGATCTGGAGAGTGTGGCACCGTGTGATTTGGAGAGCTTGGTATAGTATGAATTGGAGAGTTTGGTATGGTATGAATTGGGGAGTTTGGTATGGTGTGAATTGAAGAGTGTGGTACTGTGTGGTCTGGAGGATGTGGTACTGTGTGATCTGAAGAGTTTGGTATGTTGTGAATTGGGGAGTTTGGTATGGTATGAATTGGAGAGTGTGGCACTGTGTAATCTGGAGAGTTTGGTATGGTGTGAATTGGAGAGTGTGGTACTGTGTGGTCTGGAGGATGTGGTACTGTATGATCTGGAGATGTGGCACTGTGTGATTTGGAGAGTTTGGTATGGTTGAATTGGAGAGTGTGGTACTGTGTGGTCTGAGGTGTGGTACTGGATATCTGGAGATGTGGCACTGTGATTTGGAGAGTTTGGTATGGTGTGAATTGGAGAGTGTGGTACTGTGTTGTCTTGGAGAGTTTGGTATGGTGTGAATTGGAGAGTGTGGTACTGGTGGTCTGGAGGATGTGGTACTGTATGATCTGGAGAGTGTGGCACTGTGTGATTTGGAGAGTTTGGTATGGTGTGAATTGGAGAGTGTGGTACTGTGTGGTCTGGAGGATGTGGTACTGTGTGATCTGCAGAGTGTGGCACAGTGTGATCTGGAGAGTTTGGTATGGGGTGAATTGGAGATTGTGGTACTATGTGGTCTGGAGGATGTGGTACTGTATGATCTGGAGAGTTTGGTATGGTGTGAATTGGAGAGTGTGGTACTGTGTGGTCTGGAGGATGCGGTACTGTGTGATCTGGTGAGTGTTGTACGGTCTGATCTGGAGAGTGTGGTAGTAACTCACCTGGATATTAAAGGATATAAAGGATTTCTGCATAAGGAGGTGGGTGAGGGAAGGGTATTCTGTGGAAGAAACAAGGTTTTGTGTCCATTTCTTCAGCGATGCTTACAAAAGCTATATGTGAATTTGTGGAGCAGGCAAGTTAGGGGGCCCATACACTCGTCTCATTTGGATGCAGAACTCCTCAGGTGGCGTGGCCCTGCCATCAGTTATCTCTGCTCAGCACACTTTCAGGCTGTGCTTCTTGGTCCATATGATGTAGTATTAGTGCTTTTCTTCTACCTCTGAAGACTGTGGCCCTGTGCTATAAGCCTAATATTTGTGTTCCCCAAAATTCTTATGTTGAAATTCTAACCGCCAAGGTGATGGTATTAGAAGGTATGGTGTTTGGGAGGTGATAAGGTCATGAGGGCAGAGCACACATATATGGGAAAGAGTCCTATGTAAGAGGCCTGAGAGAGATGCCTTTCCCCTTGACCAGGAGAGGACAGTGAGAAGGTGCTGTCTATGAGCCAAAAGACAGGCCCTCACCAGACACCAAATCTACCTTGATCTCAGACTTCTAAACCTCCAGAATTTGAGAAGTAAATGCCAGGTTTTCATGAACACTCAGTTTATGGTAGTTTGTTATAGCAGCCCAAATGGACTAAGAACACCCTGTCATCTCTTGTCCTTGCCATGCCATTTGTCATGGTCTGTGGAGTTCCTCCTAAGTGTCCTGAACAGTTGTCCACTGGAGCTTTCTGTATCTCTAGTCTTCTTAAGGCACCTATGAGGTTTCTGCTCATTGTCTCTGAGTCCTTCTGGGAATGCCAGCTGACTCCTCTGCTTGGACCTGATAGAACACCCTGGGCCCATGACCTATGAGTCTGAGATCTTAGGCTCAAGCTGTTTGTTTCACTCATCTTGTCTATAACAAGCTTTCATCATTGGAGTAAATGATCGGGAAATGTCTTAGGTTACCTAGAGCATATGCAGATGAATGCTTTCCTGCATTCATCCAAATTAATGCTAAAATTCATTCAGCATTTTTTCTGCTAAAAATGAAAGAGAGAAAGAGGAATCAAGAGGAATCAAGACGGCGAAAGACGGTGATCCTCTATTTTTTTTACTCTTCTGTAACCTCGTATTGCCTGGCAGACTACCTGGGCTTCAGATGACTTCAGATCTGACGTGCCTGAGAGATGGGTCTCGTGGTTTTTGCTGTGAAGGAGTCAGCTGAGAGATAGTAGCTCGTGTCTAGGTCAAAACTCTGGAGAGGTGAGAAATCTCACCCCAATCTCATCAGCCTCGCTCTTTTCTTACAGAGGTTCCGAAAACAGAACAGACTTTTGAAGAGCGCCTGATCCTCAAAGCTTTCTTGCTCAAGTTTGTCAATGCCTACTCCCCCATCTTCTATGTGGCCTTTTTCAAGGGGAGGTGAGTATAATGGTGTCATGCTTAGAAAGGCAATTTTGTCACTAAGACTTGGTTCTCTACTGTCAGGACAATAGGGTCGGCCTGTCCCCATTGCCCACTCATCCTCACCCCACTTCCACCTGCCTTCCCATGGAGAAGGAATGCTAGCATGCAATCATTTTGAATTAGCATCTTGAGATTCTGATGACCCTGGCATTTTACAGGGATTTGACTGTAGGCCCTGAAGAGAAAGTTTTGAAAGAATTTGTGTCTCCCAACTTTGAGGATGAGGCAGGAGGGAATTTCACATCTAGCCAGTGACTCCTGGATCTTGTAATGCAATTCTGATGCCAACTACCTGGAGTTAATACAGATTTCACAGGTTAAGGACACAGCCCCTCACAAGACTTCCCTCACTTCACACACCAGTGGCAAGCTCTGGGGTTCTCAGGCCACTGGCAGTTGTGACCCACTGGCTGTAATTCCAGATTTCTCATTACTTCATCAAATTCAATAATTCACTAGAATGACTCACAGAACTCAGAAATGTGCTATACTTACAACTGAAGTTTTATAGTAATAGAGGGATGTAAATCCAAATCAGCAAATGGGAGAGGCATATAGAACTAGGTTTAGGAGGTTCTTAATCATGAAGCTCCCATGTCCTCAGGATGTGTCACCCTGCTGGCATATTGGAGTGGCATGATTGATAGAATCATTTGCCATGTGAGTGAACTCAATCTCCAATGCCCTTCCCTTGCCCTGAGATTGGGCTAGTATCACATGACTCAAAGCCTCAACCAACATGGTTGATCCTTCTGGCCTGGCTTGCCCCCATCCTGAGTAATCTCATTAGCATAAATTTAGGTATAGTCCTAGGGGTCTACCAGGAATAACAAAGATGCTCCTATCACGGTAAATTCCAAGGATTTAGGTGTTCATGCAGGAACCAGGGACAAAGGCCAGTGAAATTCTTTATTATACAATCAGTCTGGATGTAAAATCACTTTGATAAATATTTTTTTATGATCAAGCCAGTTGGCTACCTACAAGGAAATTTCCCAATAGACATCAACCAACAACACATCAGGAAAGCTTCCCTAGAACTAAAAGCTCGTTAAGCAGGCACTAATAGCACGAGCTGTCATCATCCACACTTGATAATTTCTTACAGAGGTGTTTGTCATCCAAACCACAGCCCCCTTCTCAGGACCTCTCCCCTTGGCTGACATGAAATTATAGAAGCAGAGAGACTGTCCATATTAAGAAGTATACACTTCATTGGTGCTTTCAATGTAGATTTAGTGGGAATAGCAAGTTACATGCATATGACATTCTAGGCAAGGAAAAAGGATCCTGACCCTTAGATGAATGATGGTATACTAGAAGAGATAGTCTTAGCAACAGCACACTGTAATCTCCAGTAAGTGATTATATCCAGTAAGTGATATCAAAAGAGGTGTAAAGAAAGTGTTGGGGGAACAGTTATGAACGGAGACAACAAGAAGACTTCAGCAAAGGAAAGGCTTACACTCAGCCTTAAATGGATGAGTAGGATCTCAACAGGTGAACATGGGGATGACACTGCAGTAGGTAGGATTATTCACATTGTCTGTCTGGTTCCATGGTGGGCTTGTACCATTTTGCTTCCCCGACCTGCACCATTTTATTATCACCCAATAAAAATAGACTCTACTTAGAAGAGGAATGAGACCAGCTTCTTTTATTCCTCTGAATATTTTCAGCAAGAAGTCAAGAATTTTTCTTTTCTGACCCCAGGAATCTCTATTTGCAACTTTAGTCCATCTCACCCTCCCTTTCCTGGGAATGAGAAACTCTTATTAAGGAGTTGCAATCAGAGCTGTGTTCTTGACACTAGTTAGGGAAGAAGGTGTGACGACAGTGCACTTAGAGATAATCCAAACTGCATGGTGTTTAGGCGCGCACACACACGCACGCACACACCAGGCCCAGCTTCATCCTCTGCCCAGCTTATCCCTCTCCTCTGACATTTGACTGGGTTAAGAAGTGAACCCCAGGTGTTACAGGGGGTTACTTGTTGATAACGGTGTGCACTCCTATCCCTGAGTGATCTAGCACTCGCCCTGACCAGTGCTTTCGAAGAGGACAGTGGTGGTGGTATTCCCCTCAGAAGACATGTCCTTGAGCCACCCTGCATGCTCTCTCTTCCCCTAACTCTTCCCACACTGTTTGATTTCAGGTTTGTGGGCAGGCCTGGAAGCTACGTCTATGTATTCGATGGTTACCGCATGGAAGAGGCAAGTACAGCCACGGGTGTTTCATGCCTGGCACCCCAACCCAGCCCCATTCTTATCTCCAGCACAGCATGGCTTCATTTGCGCCCCTGCTTCTCAGAGCTCCGCTTGTTCTAACCAGTCCTTTCCTTATCTTCTCCCTGCAGTGCGCTCCAGGGGGCTGTCTCATGGAGCTCTGCATTCAGCTCAGCATCATCATGTTGGGGAAGCAGTTGATCCAGAACAACATCTTTGAGATTGGAGTCCCGTACGTAATGAACTCCTCTAACCTCTCTCCTTGCTGCCAGGGGTTAGTCCAGAAGTGCCAGGCTTTCACCAGGTTATCTATGGCCTTTCCTCTTCTTAGACAGCTTGGTGATTTAATTCTCCGTCAGTTTGCCGATAACTTTCCCCATGGGGCAAACCTTGCTTGCCATTCTGATTTGAGATGTTGGAGGCTCAGAAAGATTTACCCTTTGCTAAGTACACATAACTAGTAAGTAGCAGAGCCAGGAGTCAGATCTCTTGGCTCCCAGAATGCATAATAGTTTAATGCTATTTGTCCTCTCAGTGAGTGAGTAAAAAAGACTTTCAGTATGGTGGATAAATGAATGTGAACGATTGAAATGTAATGGAATCATTTAGGACAATCTCTAAGAAGAAAATGTGGAATACATAATCTTAGGAGGGGAGGGCGGAATAGTTGGTGAAATGCAGAATGAGTTATTATCATGTGGATTCCCCCCTATGCGCCCCAGGGTTTTATGAAAATGTCATAGAACTTCTTTCAATCAGGTTTTGCATTGAGATAGTCACGAAAATAAACACAGACTCACTTTGTACTGGACCTAAAAGAAGGAAGGATGGAGCAAGCTAAAATATGCTTACAGGTCAAAGAAAAATGTAACCCCCTCTGCCTTTCCTTCCTATTGCCTTGTGATTTGGAAGAAGAGTCTGTTTCAGGGGATGCTTTTAGGCAGTCCAGCGACAGAGATGCCCAGGGGTAACTGAGAGGCTGGGCCAGGTCTGCTTAGGAGGATAGATGGATAGCTTGTTCCAGGCTCAGGGTTCTTTGTAAACCACTTTAAAGATGACCATTCTGGGATGGATGTAATCGTCAGACAGTACCCATAAGATTCTGTGACACACTTTCATCTGCTTAGAGATACATTAATTGTTTGGGAAGTCGTCCAATAATGAACCTTTTAAAATCCTTTTCTTTCCAAATATATTTCTTCGTGTTTGCCCAGGGTTCTTAGCTGCAGCTATTGGAATTCAGTGTGGCTACTTTAAGCAACAAAGGCATTTGTTTCAGAACAAAGTGACTGACAGAGAATGTTGTATTCTTTAAAGGCCAGAGAGTAGGCGCTGAGCTGCATAACCAGGAATAACACTGTTTACACTGCAGGGGAACTTGCAGGGGACACCACTGTCTCTAGCTCATGGCTCATACTGCTAAGACAGTGAAAGAAAAACGTAGATGAAACGGCCCTTGTCTTCTCAGAGCCTAACTTTTTAGTCTGGGAGACGAAATAGACTGCATGTAACTACATATTCTGTGTGTGAATTCAGAATCCAGAATAAGTAAAGGTCAGATGTTTGGGAGCAGTCAAAGAAGCCTTCAAAAGCAGAGAGGTTTCTGGCCAGGTGCGGTGGCTCACCCCTGTAATCCCAGCACTTTGGGAGGCCGAGGTGGGCGGATCACGAGGTCAGGAGTTCAAGACCAGCCTGACCAATATGGTGAAATTCCATCTCCACTAAAATTTAAAAAAAAAAAAAAATTAGCAGGGCTGGGAGGTGTGTAAATGTAGTCCCAGCTAATAGAAAGGCAGAAGCAGGAGAATTGCTTGAACCCAGGAGGCGGAGGTTGCAGCGAGCCGAGATCATGCCACTGTACTCCAGCCTAGCAACAGAGCAAGACTCTGTCTCAAAAAAAAAAAAATAAAATAAAAAAATAAATAAATAAATGAAAAACAGAGAGGTTTCTTCCAGGGTGTGGCTTCCAGGTTTCTTCCAGACTGCCACCATCATATATTACAAGATGGACTGCCATCCTTTTCTTTAAAGAAATAATTTCCCTTAGATATGTGTGTGGGGGGGGGGGGGGGCAACTCTGATAGGCTTGGCCAGCTGGGCCCTGAACATGATAGGTTGGGCCTTTTCCATGTTATTTCTATAAATATATTTAAATATATATTTACATAAATATATTTAAATTGATATATTTAAATATCAATGCATATATTTATACATAAATGCATATATTTATACATAAATGTATATATACATTTTATAAAATATACCTATGTTTCAGATAGATATAAATTTATATACAAATTTTTATATGTATAAAACATATATATATATAACTTTTCTAAACAAACAACAGACTGATTCTGGTTTTATCACAACCACCTATGACCCAGTTGGTGCTACAGGTGGAGAAGGTAAGGCCCAATGAGCTGGCAGTTCTTTGACCAGGGTCTTGGGGCATGTCAGGGACCTGGCAAGGGCAAAAGCCCAGAATCTCCCTCAATCTATGGAAAGACTGTGGAGTCCTAGGTTCTTGGGCTGAATGGAACCACTAGAGGATGTATATCCCAATCCCCCATTCCATGTAAAATTATACTAGAGCCACCTGCTCCCTTGGTCCCCAGAGAAAGCTCCCTTTTTGTCTTCCTCAAAAATATATTTGTAGAGCTAAAGTTATAATGGAGACAATTTAATTTACCTGGAAAGAATATCATTTTTAATGAGATCCCTGCTTCAAGAAATGAGAATCCACAACATTCCCTTCTAACACTGGGTGATCTAAGCATGCAGGGTGCTTTTCTGACCTTGTACTGGGATAGCCTCAGAGGGCACTTGGGCATGTGTTTTCTTTGGGGAGGATTGGCGGGATCATTGGTGTCTGGGTGCCTCACTCCACCTCCTTGCCTAAGCCAGCCTCTAGTCACCAGTCAGGAAGTCAGCAACTCTGAGAAACTGAGCCTCTGAAGCTGTGTCCCGCTCCCTGCTTTCTGGCAGAAAGTCACTCAGTGGTAAAGTCAAGCAAAGCTAGATGATGCTTGTTCTTGTTCCAGGCAGATGACACTTGTTTTCTCTGAGCTTACCATCTTAGAGAGACATAATTTGTTATGGAAAAACATCCAGAGAATATGCAGACGGTACCAAAGCCACATCTGGCCCCTTTGAAACCATGAGGCCAACCTCTCCACAACTACAAAGAAAAGTCTTCGTCCCCATTCAAACATCTGGGAAAAACACCAGCCTTCCCAGTACATTGTTATTTTGCTCTGAGTAGAATTATTTACAGCTTGTGGGCATGGAATGCCCATTTTTTCATCCCTGGTCATCTGGTCTACCACTTAGCCCATTTTCTCTGGACCCAGAAAGTTTTCATAGAATACAAGAGAGGCAAAATCTCAGGCGTGTGTTTGGACAACACATTGGTATGTCCCCATCCCCCAACTCCATCCACTCCATAACAGGTGAAAATAATGCATGGCGTATGCCTTGAAGGCTAAATTTTCTTGTATATGATTGACATGTGCTTAAAGCTTTGTATGTTTTAAAATGTACCACCCTTTAAACAATGGCAATTGCACAGTAACTCATAAAGCCATGGGCAAGCTGCTTCTCTGAGTCTAACTGTCCTCATCTCTTGATGAATGTGGTAGCATTAAAATCACATGTAAGGTGTCTTCAAGCTCTAGTGCCCTCTGAACTTCCCTCTAATGAGCAAAGCTGGTCACTGCTGATTCCAAATACAAGCCACTCCTCTTTCAAAAGATGTTTCCTTTCCATTTCTACTCTGCCAGAGGATGTATACAACATAATTATGTAGTTAAATTCAAGGATGTAGAACAAAAATTCTTTTACCAAATCTTAGGGTCTTTTATCTCCAAAGTTCTTTATAATTTGTATAATTATGAAGGTTGCATTTTGAGTTTGGTCATACGAGATCACTATGATTATGATTACTGGATCTTCCACTCTCAATAAATCAGACTCCTTCAGTTTCAGCCTTGAAGTACCTGGCATGGATGACACAGATGCAACATAAACAAGAAAAGAAGTCTTTCATAGTCAGAAGAGAAATGATGATTGAGCCTGCCAGTGAGGAAGGAGTCGTGTAAATTATAAAAATTAGACCCAGTAGTTTTTAACACATCTGTAGGGCAAAGATTTGGTGGCCTAACACAGTGGTCCCTAACCCTTTTGGCACAGGGGACAGGTTTCCTGGAAGACAGTTTTTCCATGGACTGGAGGGGTGGGATGTTATTTCAGGATGATTCAAGTGCATTACATTTATTGTACACTTTATTTCTATTATTATTATGTTGTAATATATAATGAAATAATTTTACAACTCACCATCATGTAGAATCAGTGGGAGCCCTGAGCTTGTTTTCCTGCAGTTAGACGGTCCCATCTGGGGGTGAAGGGAGACAGTGACAGATCATCAGGCATTGGATTCTCACAAGGAGCTCCCAGCCTAGATCCCTCACATGCATAATTCACAATAGGGTTCACCCTCCTATGAGAATCGAATGCCGCCACTGATCTGACAAGAGGTGGAGCTCAGGTGTTCATGAGTGATGGGGAGTGACTGTAAATACAGATGAAGCTTCGTTCGCTCACCTGCTGCTCGCCTGCTGCTGTGTGGCCCAGTTCCTAACAGGCCAAGTACGGGTACTGGTCTGTGGCCCAGGGATTGAGGATCCCTGGCCTACTAGATCTGGGTTTAAATCCAGGCTTTGCAATGTACTCACTGTGTGACCTTGGCAAAGTTATTCTAGAAAGATTTCCATCTAACTTAAAAAAAAAAGTGTTTACATTTAAACAAAACTAAACTAAAAACCAGCTTGGATAAATGCTGAGCTATCTAGAAAACATAAAATGTGGACATCTGAGGAAAAAAGAACCGTTCTTGGGGTTTCCAAGTGACCAGCATTTTACTGTGTGGCAAAGGCTTTTATGTTTAAAGCTGATGCTTTGGAAGCGTTGCCACTCCAGGGGGTGAAACCGGAGAGAACAACTCAGGGACAGTCGTTTTCTCTTCTGTTCCTGGCTCAGTGGCTTTTAGTGGGCAGTAAAGCTCTTACGCACCTTCAGAGTCCACATGGAATTCTTTCCCCAAGGGAGATACATATTCATTCTAAAGGCCAGTTTTGTTGTGTTTTTTTTAAAACAACAACAACAACAACAACAACAAAAAACAGAGGCAAGTCTGGGGAGTTAGATGGGTGACTGTGCTGGATAAGA